GGCCCCGCGTCCTCACCGGTAGCCCAGCACCCCCGTGCGCGGCAGGGGCTCGCCCCTCGCCTTCGCGCTGAGTGACCCCACGCGCGGACAAAGCCCCTCTGGGCGCAGGGAGCTCTCCTGGACGGCAGCAGGATCTGCTGACCACTCTGAGCAGCTTTGTTGGACGCTTCAATGCTCGGGAAGGTCAGGAGGGAAGAGAGGGTGTTCTGAGGACAAAGAGATTGGAAATCCCAGAAACCTTGTTGCCGCGTTGGGAACCAGCAGAGAAAGCCTCGTCCATCTGGACACGGCTGCTCTGCGCAGTGGTCCAAAGTCCTGCCGTGTGGGAGCGGCTCCTGGGGCTTTCCTGGTCGTCTCGAGAGCGCCTAATGCTGCTGATAAGATGTAAAGTAAACAGCCCCTGCGCTGCTGCCCTGCCATGTGCCCATCTCATCACAAGCAAAGCGGAGAAAATGTACAGGGGTAGTTAAAATTAAAACCTACTGCAAGCAGCTGGGCCCTCTGCCTCCAGTCTGGTGCTCCACGGCACCGCAAGGCAGCGAACGTGGCGGCCGCTGGGAACACCTGGGGGTCCCCTCTCACGGCAGAAGGAACGGAAACCAGGCGGTGGTCCCCTGCGGAGAGCAGCCATAGGGCTGCCGCTGAATTGGGGGGAAACAATCTCATGCATAGTTCTGTAACCCAGTTGCTCTCATACCTGTTTAACCTTGCCAACCTACAGGAACAGCAAAATCTCCTTTTCAGTTCCATTATTTTTGTCTTACCACGGTCATAGAGTACGTGCCTCTGAGCAGCTGCCAGGCCCGCTGCCCCGCACGCTGGTTCAGCTCCACTGGAGACAAGGAGGGAGCAAGTGGCTGCTCCGACAGTGGATGTACCAGGATCAGAACAATGGGCTCACACTGCATCCCTTAAATGTCTCTGAATCGAAATCTATTGTAATGCATTATTAAGCCGACTTACTTTTTCTATGTTCTTGTTTGAAAAAATTTAGACACTGCTCAGAAGCTCCTTTCTTCTCTCAAAGAAATATTTTGGCTTTCCTTTTACAAATAAGTTTTCTTCTGAGCTGCTTGTGACTTGGATTGCTTCTGAATCTGTCATCCAAGCATATGCACACTAACCATTGCCTTGACAAGTTGGTGGGAAGGGACTTAACAGAGTCTATAATCCAAAACCTGCGTGCTAGGCAGTTCTACCACCAACACAAGAGCAAGTCAGCTGTGGCTTTTTCTACAAGTTTGGATACAGACTCAAACACACCTCTGGGTGCTAGCACTGCACCAACTTCTTAGCAAAAAAGTTTTTGATAGTGTCCAGCCTGAACAACCCTAAATTATTATCATCATAAATTTACTAGTTCCTTTTTTTCTGCAGGATGACTTAAGAGTTATTCTCACCAAAGATACCATCTATCCATTAAGCTTTATGACTTTGTACCTATCCAGACAGACCCCTAAATGTCTCTGATCTTCCTGCTGTGAACTGCACTGAGGCTAAAGTACAAGAGCAGCTTTGAATGCTTTATTCATAGGACCAAAAGAATAAAACTGTCTATCTGAGCCAGAAGTGGCCAAATACCACAGATACTGGAGCAGAAGACTATGGGTAGCTGCTATGGGTGTCAAACCCCTGATCCTTCTTTAGCAATGAGCAGCCAGAGCTGTTTAGGGCACTAGCACTTATGCTAGGAAATGAAAGAGGTTTTTATTTGGTTTTCTATGAATATAGACATTAACTTCTGGTGGACTGTTTGCATTAGGTTAATATTTCTGTAGTGTACAGGTGTTAATATGAGCTGAGTGTCTGCTGTCTGTCTCTAGCCCTGTAAAGAGCAGAGTGTGGCGCTGTAAATATTAGCCCAGGCATAGAAGTGTTTGCACAGCCCTCCTCTGTGCTGCCTCCTGCAGTAGTACTCTGATAGTACTCCTTAAAAATGACCAAAGCTCAGCCCTCAGAGCCTCAGCATCTTCTGCACTGCAGGGTAACACGCTCTGGTTTTGACTCAAGAAGGGTTGTAGTGATCAAATCCTGAAAGAAGAAGCAGAAGCACCAGTGTGCTGCTATCTTCATTACATTGGTACTACAAAAAATAAGGTAAAACTAAGTAATACAGCACATACTGCAAACAAAACACTCACTTGGTCAAACTGACTCACTCTTCACTTGCTGTGGCAGTCACAGGTGTAGAGCAGAATTGCCTAGCACATCACTGAACTGCCAGTTGCTTTTAACACAGCAACACCCAGCCATTTCTGAAGGAAACTATTGATTGTGCTCTTGGTTTGTTCAAAAGGGATTCCCAGTAATGGAAAGGACTGTCCATTGTTAATTTGAACAGAAGAGGAAACTGAAAGTCCTCCTGCAGATACTGTAGGGACCTTCCTGACACCAAAGAGAGGAGTAACTACTGAGGAAACAGCACCAGCATGGTGAGTGGATTTCTGGTTCCAGAGGGGATCCTGCATGCACCTCGACACAGCCTATGGTAAGACGTGACATAGATGGGGCCTGACATGTCCAAACCTGCTGAATGAGGTTTTGATATGTTAGAAGAAAAAATTTCATGCACTGTATCAAGTCATTCATAGCCTGGAAGCAGTGTGAAGAAGGTAAACTGTGATGGCTCCCGTGAATTTAAAGAACATGAGGTTTGGTGCTGGTATTTTCCACAGGAGGCAGTTTGACCGTAATCTGCACTGCAAGGACCAGAGGATCCAAGCTCATGAATGATAAAATAGAAATAAAAAGCAAAGAAAGGCAGTATTCGGGGGGGGGGGGGGGCGGGGGGGGGGGGG